CAAAATGATCAATTAGAAGGCACCTCCTGTAGTATAAGGTTGACACTTTATTCATGCAATGGTTTTAGAGTAATATAATGAAACAGTCTTCAAAATCTACATTAGGGGCCATTAGTTTGATAACAATTTTTAAACATATAGTTTTTTCATTTTGATGTACGTTAAAAGGTTTTTTTTAACCTACTTAACGTAAGCCGTCCATTTGGTAAAATGCTTACTCTATGCTTTAGAAGGAACTTTTTCCGTTTTCAAATTTTGTAAATGGTTTTGTTATCATTAGATTAACAATGGAAAAAAAGAAACTGATTTTGAATTCCTAAATATCTAGATCTTAAATTTGTCAAATGGACGGATGAGATTCATTATTGGACCAAGGCTCATTTTGACCATATTTAAGGTGCAAATTGATTATTATTATTTTTAGATTAATAAATGGGATGATGAAAGTGCCAATTTGAAGTTATACAAATGCCACATGTTTTTTTGGAAGTGTCATTATATTACAATGACATGCTGACGTGAGAGAGAGAGAGAGAGATATATTCATACAATGATCTATAGTAGTATAATGAAACAATCTTCAAAAACCATGTTAGTGAAATTTGTTTAACTCCAAATTTTAAATATACATTCATTTCGTTCAAATGAACAATCACAAAAGAACATAACTTAAAGATACACCTTTGGAAGTGTTTTTTAGCTCAATTAACATAGACCTTCCATTTTCATAAGACGCTTAGATCTAAGCCTTAGAAGGATTTTTCCCTGACAACTTTTTTGGATGGATTTATTATTAGATGAACAATGTTTAAAAAATAAAAATAATAATTTTGAGTTTATAAAGGCCAAGAGATTAAAACTCAAATTCATTATTGGAGGGGGACTCATTGTGACTTTATTAAGGGAGAAAATTGAATTTTATTTTATTGGGGGTTGATTATTGGGATGAATAGAGGGTGTGTGCAATTTATGTAGTCATACAAATGCCACAAACATGGTTTTATAAAAATGT